AAGAGACTATGTGGCGTTACAAGAATGAAATGAAGAAATTTAGTTGGTTGACAAGGAATATGTTGGTCACTGCACAGTGGGTGGGGAGATCAGCAAATAATTTGTCAGATGTGTTAGCTAAGCAAGGGGTAAATAGGGAAGAATTATTTTGGGCTCAGTTGTGATTCTTGCTTTTCTTTCCTAATTTACTTGTAAGATTCAAGGAGGGGCTGCAGCTCGCACCTCTTGCTAGGATGTTGTATGAACTCACTCTAAATTTGCTTCTGAATTAATAAATTTATTATCATTCATCAAAAAAACAACTCTTGGCCTATGGTGAATGTAAACAACAGATCACATGTGTTGATGCATTTGTGATCAACTTCCCAACGGATAATTAGCAAAATGATTAGTCACGCCAGACACCCATTCGTAATATGTTCATCCTAGCTGATCTGACCTCTGACCTCTCTAATAGTCTATATAAAAACCAAAGACCACTACAAATACCAAATATCCACCGGTCCACCCAAAACCTTGGAATCTCCTTTGGTCCTTCAACAAAAATTTCTCAAAATTCGAAATAGAAGATTACAAGTCCTTGAAGAAGGAAAGTTGTTCAATAGGAAAGCATGTACGTTCAATGTTTCCACTCTTCTCTTTCCTTTTCTTCCCATTTTTGTTCTTTTACTTTTCGCAAAAGTGAAGGGTAGATGTTGCTTCCAAGGATCAAAGTATTGGTATCGGGTATCGACGTATCGTATTGGACTATTTGGATATGAATACGGATACAGATATGCTTTGGAAACGCATGGATACAGACTAAAGATATGAAAACACATGGACACGCTAAGAAAATAATACAAATTTCATAAACACATCAATTACACTAAGTTTAAAAGTCAAAATTGCCACAAATAAAGTACAAATACATAAAAATGTATATTTTAATGATAAAGAAATATATTATTAATATAAAAAGAGACATAAGTATCATACAATTTTGTTGATAATCTATCAATCAAGAGTCCAAGACTCATATCACATAGTTTTTACAAAATAAAACATGCACAAAACCATTATTATGTTAAATTTTGTAAGTCCAAGACACAAAACATATGTAATTATTATATTTTAAATACTATAGCAATTATTTTCTATTTTTACTTTTCAACATTAACAAAAAAAGTCAATTAAATATTAAATTTTGAAATGTTTGATAATATCAAAATTATTACCATATGAAATTCATAGTTTTTCTAAGATACATATATTATTATCATATTTTTACTTTTAATCTTAACTGAAAATATATCAAAATTATTAAAACTTCTAAAATACATATCAGATGAAATTCATAATTTTTAATTACTAAAGTAATGCTTCCATTATTAACATTTTTATTTCTATAAATTTTCTGAAATAACACATCATTTTTTATATAAATTTAAATTAGTGGATTTAATAAATTCAATTTAATATTATATTCTTGAATATTTTGTAAACAATTTTTTTTTATTTTTGTAAATAATAAATATGTTATTTTTATTCTAAACTAAAATATCAATGAATAATTTATAAAAATATATTAAAATTTGAAGATATATGTACAAATCTATGAATTTTACGTACTAAAATAATTATTCTATTATTAATATTTTATTTGTATAAATTTATTGAAAGTAAAAAACAATTTTTGATATAAATGTAAATTTGATAGATTGTTTACTTATTAATGTTTATAAAATACTAATTTTTAATATTTTTTTTTATTTTTTTTAACATAAACATATATTATTTGTTTAGGTTGCATGTTAACAATGAAGTTAATAAATTTTACTTTATTTTTCTTGATATTGCAAGTTGCATGATGGCATAGTGGCTCAAGACGCTAGGCGCACAGTGGTGTAGGCATGACGACTTGAGTTCAAATCTTTGCAAAAGCGTTTTTAAATAAGAGATGCGCACATATCAATGTGTATCGGCATGTACCGGTCGATACAGTGCAATACGCACCGATATTGACCTGTATCTTGTCAATATGCATGACTAGACGTGTATCATACCAGTCGTAGTGTATCTTGTATCGGTTCTTACCGATTTTAATCCTTGGTTACTTCTTTTCTTTTCTTCCTCCTTTAGAGCAAAATGACTCAATAACCCAACAAAGAATTGAAAATCCAAAACAAGGGCCTGGGTTATATTGTGTTGCAGACCAACAAAATCCAACAGCTCTGCAAATTAAATTCATTTTTATAAATTCAAACAATCATGAATTCTCACCCTCCTTTGATGTATGCATACATATGATTTGCACATCAGTATATGCACTTGAAGAATTGCAAATTATGTGGAATTAAAAACAACTTGTCATAATGCAACAGCTATAAGGCTGCATGCCTTTTCATGAAATAGACTATGTTAAGATAAAGAGGTGCCATGAAACTCCTCCCAATACATTAGTAGATTTGGTCGAATTTTCTGAATCTATAAAGGTTAAAGCTCTTTGTACAAACTTCAAAGTTATTAACAAATTGAAGACTAGAAGGATATCAAAATTTGAATATGAAAAGATTTTTTTTTTTTTTGAAAAAGGCAATATACTCCACATCTCCTAACTCCTAAGATGCAAGGAACAAGAATAATCAGGAATCGCATTTCACAAATAACCAAAGGCAGAAAGAGGTTCATGAATTAAATCCATAAGAGCATATGAGCTTAAACAAACCTTTCACGCCTTGAGAGCTCAGTTGTTTTCTCAATCTGCAAAATTAGAATACCATATTTAGCACAATTAAATCTTCCACTAAGGTAGGTTACAGAAAAAATATGAAAGGAAATTTTGCCAAACTTACATCAACATCCCTAGCTTTTAAAGTCTTTGGTTTTGCCAAATTAGGGTTCTCGATCTGAATAAGACCCTGGGTACCTTTCCGCTTCTGCCAATATTGAGTACCAAAATGAGAAACGATTTAAATACAAGCAGGTAATGCATGCCAATAAAAGAAGATAATCATGAGGAAAGCATCTCCTAGAACTGGAAGGTACGATGAGCAATATTGTACTGACCTCAGATTCTTCTTCAGATTCCTCTTCAGATTCTTCTTCCTCCTCTTCAACAGCTTCTTCCTGAGCATGTCAAAAGGGATTATCTCTTTATACACAAGCAGAGAGAAGAAAACCAAGAAAAAGACGGAAATTAACAAGAAAAACAAAGACTAGAAATATGGGACAATTTTTTTCCATTAGAATGACTCCTGGGACTACCTTTTGAACAGTTAACATCAAACAGAGGCATCAACACTACCAGTACACCAATGAATACAAAGTTATCATAACAATATTAGCCAGAAATGAAAATAGCCTTTCAAGCATGCTAAGGAAGTAGCTCTGCAATTTTCTAAATCATATCAAGCCTTAGATCATTTACTAATATAGATGCATCATGCAGGGGAATTGAGTGCATTTTTTCTGTTTTTGGATAAATGGGGAATTGAGTGCATTTCATTCCAAGATCCCATGGACCAAAGCAGACTCAATTTAAAATTTCCCATACAGTTTTTCTTTTCTGCTAATGATTGGTATTATAGGGCTAGCCGTACCATGTTATGTGGAGCTCACTCGGAAATAATATTATCTTTTTTGTTGTTAGATGGTAGTCTTATCAGCAATTTGACAACTGCTGAATCAACTAAAATGAATTGCTCATCAGTCTATCCTTTGTTGGAAAAAATGGTCATATAATGAAATACATCAGGGTAAAGAAGTAACTGAACATGCTGTTCAGAAATAAAGAAGCCCATCCCATTATTAATTCCTTATTCACTTAAAGACAAAATGATAGGCAATTCAATTCAACCACTTGTGTTGTTTACAAATAACTTCTTACTCTTTTTTTTTTAAACTGTAAGCTAATTAGGTAAATTATTTCATTAAAATCCGAACAAGATAAGAATAACCCCTTACTCATCAGAGTTCATTCTCACTTGGTTCAAGAGTGTTGCTGGAGATTTGCTAAATTTTAGGAGGTTGAAGGGGTATTTTTTATCAGTAGGGAAGTTGAAGTTGTAGGTCTATCTCTTTCCTTGCAGAAAAAGATTCAAGTGTCAGAATTTGCTAATTTAGCTTAATTTTGGGTTTATTAGATATGTTTTTAATTACCTCTCCAACAAGACTAAAATCTTGCAAATCTGGTTTGATTTGAGAAAGTAAGGACCATTTTTACTGATAATTTAGCAGTTGTTGACAGGTTGACTCTTAAGGAGTTTTTTTTTTAATTAGGATTTCCCTTCATGGTTAAGAGTTATTCTAAAGGTAAGAAAGCCAGGTCTTAGTGTCCATAAATATATGACAGATCAATGAAAATATTTGTATTCGGACAATTTATTTGAATAAAATTGAAAATATTACCCTGGGAAAAAATGTTGCTATCAAGTGAGAAAACAAAAGTGACACTACAGCTTCATGAACACAGACATAGTTGCAATATAACCTAAAAAGGCATCATCTAGTAGTTGAGACCAGAAGCAAGAAGCTTGTAATATGCTATTAGAATTGAATTATACATAATATGTGTATACTTAATCAAAGAGAAAATTCTCAAAAAGATAATAGTCCAAAGAATTTTAGACATTACTCATTAAAATAAAAAAAATAAAAAAACAGAATTTTAGACATTACTTGTTCAGATAAACATAAAGAAGTACCTGTTTAAAAGTCCGAGGGCGAGCTGATGTACCTGCCACTGCAACATTTTAAATCATGGAAAAAAAGAGTCACAAGTTAGCAGATACCTTATAACAGCTGTTACAGAAAGAAACCAAAATTTTCACTTAAATAATGGGACTTTAACTCCAAATTGATCTACAGAGTACAGACATGTAGTCTTAAGAAGTGCCTGAAACAGCCCTTGGGCATATGATACCTAGGCTCTTTATTTACCCCATGTACATGAGTTGAACACAGCATCATATGTGTGTAAGTATGGGATATGTGCCAGATTCACCAAATCCATGTCTAATTATCCACTTAACTAGGCATACAACCAAAATAAATGTTAAAATCGCCATCATCATATACAACTATCAACCCCTGAAGTAAGGTGTTGAGCCCAAGCAAACAGAACTACAAAACTGCCATTAATAAACCTTCCCTCACAGTCCCCTGTTTGGCTAAGGTATCAGCTAGACCATTAGCTGAATTACAAAATAGCCATCATCACCATCTAAGCCTTGTCCCAACTATAGGTAGGCTACCTAAATCCTGTTTCACACTTTCACCATTCCATTCTGTTCAATACCAAAGACAAAACAAGATCCATGATCATGAGAACTTGGCAAAAGTTTAGTGCCAGCTGCCAACCTGTGCATCCTTCCTCCTTTATCTGGGCTTGGGTGGTGTAACTGTGTAAGGCAAGCTCATATTGGTGGTCATTGCAAATTAAAAGTTGAAACTTTTAATTGTCCTTTTGCAATTAAAGGTTGAAGCTTCAACATATGTACTGTCCAAAAAAATAAGAATGCCCCCTTAAACATTTAAATCCCATTGTTAGAGTCAACTATGAACTAAGTAGGATTATTTCAGTCTTTTTCCTCTTATTTATTGAATTATGTTTTGCCCATTTTGTTTTATTTTAAGTTACATGTCCCATACTTAAGTAGGGGCATAATAGTCTTTGTAATCTAGGCTAATCTATATATAGTTGAGGTCAGCTGGAGTAAGAGGCTGTAGAAGGCTGAGATCATTCCTCTTGCTTTCTTTTTCTTTTTTCTGGGTTACGATCTGAGATAAGAGGCTGTAGAAGGCGTGGCAGCACCACTCTGGTATTCTGTGGATTGCTTTCACTATGTGTGACAGCCTTAGTGGTTGTATGGTGGTTTGGTGATGTGGTTTGAACCCTCTACCGAGCAGTTTCAAGAGGGTTTTCTCTGATTGGTTGACAATATTGATGTTGGTAGAGGCTGCTACTGAATTTCTATGATGAAGAATGTTGCTGAATGTACCTAGGGTGTTGTCTCATATGTTTTCCCTTGCTATTTGGATGAGAAAGGGCTGCTAAGTGGTGAGTGGACTGCTGTAGGTAACAGCAGTATTTTTTGCTACAGTAGTGTTTTTTTTTTTTGTGTGTGTGTGTGTGTTGATTATTGCATATTTGCAGTGGTGTTAATAGTTTCTTGAGTAGATAACACGATGGCAGCAACTGGAGAAACTAGTGGTGATCAGGAATCTAGTGTGATTTTGAGGCCTGATCTCCTCCATGTGTTGGGTGGAAGAAATTAAACTTTGATGGTAGTTGTATGGACAATCCTAGACCATCGGGTATTGATGGGGTAATTAGGGAAGAAAATGGAAACATTCTAGCTTTGTACTCAGGTCCTATTCAGCATGGAGATGTCGTGAGATCAGAATTATTGGCAGCAGTCTATGGAGTAGAGAAAGCTAAAGAAATGGGGATTACTAAGCTGATTATTAAAGGTGACTCAAAAGTAGTTGTGGGCTGGTTGAAAAAAGGGGAAGGAATCATATGGAAGTTAAAGAAAGAATTCAGGAGATTCAAGCAGATTTCTAAAGATATGATGATCCAAATAAGATGGATTAGGAGGCCTGCAAACAATTTGACTGACGGTCTGGCAAAGCAAGGAACTCAAAGACACTCTATGTTCTGGGCAATCTGTAAATAGTGAATAGTTTCTGGGTGGGCTTTGTTTTTGTGCCCACAAATCTTTGTTGTACCTCTTTTTTTAATCTAATGAATCAATTTTGTGTTGCTGATAAGAAGAAATTGATTTTATTAAAAAGACAGATTAAGGTACATTATAGAGGATGACCTTTCACCCAAGAAAAAGAGAATTGATAAGCTTATCCCAAAAGATTACAATATAGCCTAAAACAACTGCTGCCTATAGAGCCCCTATTTAACTAATGTGTTGGCCATCCCATTTGCAATCCTTCTTGTCCAAGTGATATGCAGATGATATCAATTAAACTCAACAGGAGAAAACTCAATGGTGAGAATTTTGTGCCATGGACCAAATCAATGGAGGTTTTCCTTAGAGCCAAGAAGGTGAAACATGTGAAGGATGAAAAACCATCGGCTGAATCTCTAGTGATTAGTGATTGGGAGCAAGAAGATGCTCAAATTATGGCATGGTTATAGAATAGTGTGGAACCCAAAATAAGTGTAAACTTTATGTTCTTAGACACAACCAAGGAAATATGGCGTCATGCTAAGAAACTTTACTCTGGCTAAGACAACACCACAAGGATATACCAACTCTAACAAGAGTATTTCAATTTGCAGCAAGGAAATTAGAGTCTTGAAGAGTACTATGCTAGTAAAAGAAATCTCACGAGTGAACTCAATGTCTATCATCCATTAACCTCATATTTCAAAATTCAACAACAACAGAGGGAACAACTTGATGTGACCAGGTTCTTGGTGGGGTTAAAGTCAGAGTATGAACCAATTAGAGCACAAATATTGGGTGGCTCTGCTCTTCCCACTCTTGAGGAGGTCTTTGCTCGACTCCATACCAACTGAGAGCACCAATACTTCTAATAGATCAACATTTGTTATAGCAGGAGAGGGAGGGTGTGCCATGTGGGAACAAAGGTGGAGGTCGTGGAGTTCGAGGAAGTTGTGGTGGCCCTATGTTTAGTTGTGATAGTGAGTTAGTGGAGGTCGGGATCAGTGTTTTAAAAGCGCAAGGCGCAAAATGAGTGCAAGGGGCAATTCGCACTTGAGGCACAAGGCGCAAAGCGAGGCACACGTCTTTTTTAAGCAAGGCGGAAAAATACAAAAAAAAAATGCCAACTTCCGAAAAAAAATAAAAATATTAAACATAATATTAATAAAAAAAATGTAAACTTAAATTTTAAAATAAATGTTTTAAAAAACCTATTATCTAAAATTAAAATACATAAACATAACATGTAAAGTGTATTCAAACTAAAATTTAAAAATAAAATAAAATATATAAAACATTTTCAAGCATGTAAAACCCACAATCTCTTTTTTTTCTTCAATTGCATTACTTCAAATGGCTAATGTGATGTAAAACATTTTGCATTCCTGATTCTATAAGCCACCTTTGTACCAAGCCCCTCAAGGCAACCCAGTTTTTCATGAGAGGACAAAGCACACATTGATCAAAAAAAAAAAGAGAGGACAAAGCACAGAGAGGTTGACTGCCATTTTTGTAAGAGAGAAAGTTCTTGTTGGAGTGATAAGCACAAAGCTTGTGAGCTTAAGAAATCAGTGAGCAATCTTGTTTACGAAAGGTTTGGGAAGAGTGGATAATGTATGTAACAAGTTGGGACTATAAAGTCTATAATGGCATATACTCTCCGGCTTAAGGGAGAGTGTTAGAGTCTTTTTCCTCTTATTTATTGAATTGTGTTTTGCCCATTTTGTTTTATTTTAAGTTACATCTCCCATACTTAAGTAGGGGCATAATAGCCTTTGTAATCTTGGCTAATCTATATATAGTTGAGGTCAGATAGAGTAAGAGATCATTTTCTCCAGTTTATACAATTGTTTCTCTTCTCCTCTTTCTTTTCTTTCTAACACAAGTTTTCAATCAGACGAACCATTAAAACACCCATAAAAGTGTATTTTCTATATACAAATACAATATGCTTTGGGCCTTCAGTTATCATATTTTTGTTTTTTGAGCAAACCTTTAATTGTTATGTTACAAGATGATTTATTTGCTTTTTCAGTTGTTGCTACTTCCCTTTGGATATTAACAATAGATTGACTCCAACAAAAACATTCCTTACTTGCATGACTGGAAAATAAAAGATTATAATCAAGTAATGATGCATCCATATATTATTATTGATTGATGGACTAATTTTAGACAACGACCTGTATCCCAAGATTTTGAGGTCAAATGGATACAACTCCTAGACACATACCAGCACTCAAACCCATGTAATATAGCCTTAGGGTATAACCTTCCTAATGGAGCCTCTAATCCCTTATTAAGTATTGTTTTAATAGTAGAAACTGAAAATTCCAGAAAGGGCAAACCATAATTACTCAGTTTATCTCTCTCAGTCTGGACATCATAAAGAGTGTTCTGGAAGATAAGTTATGAAAAGTTTTTTCACTCTGCTATTTGGTGTGTAATAATAGATCCAAAAACAAAAACAAAAAAAAGAAATTTTTTGAGGATTGTAGGCGAATTGACATTGCTCGATTAGGGAAGCAGCTTCTCCATAGAAACTTTTAAAGTAATCTTTATTCTTTAGGTTTGGTATCCTTTTTTTATGAATTCTAGTTTTGGTTTTGGTATCCATAGCATCTGGTTTCTTCTAGTTTACAGCTTTTCTATTGTTAAATTCTTTCACAGCCTAGAGCCTACACTAGTTCCTATTTCCTAATGGTTTTAGATCTTTAAAAGTCAAATTTCCTACAACAGAACTTACAAAGTAGTCATTGATCAACCAAATCAGAAGAATTTATGACAAAGTCATAACATGTTTTTTTTTACAATTTTTATGACCAATAATTTGTTTTTATAAACTAAATATCAAATCCAATCATCATACATAATGAGAAAGTTCAACTTTTAGGGCAAGTTCTACGTAAGAAAGTACAGTAAAATTCACTTAGTACACCCAACCATCTTTCTAAAATAAAATAAAATAATCGCGACAACCACAGTAAGTAGTCCAATGACTTCATAACTTAGTCAGCCAATCTTGTCTCTTCCTTCAACCGTTCAAAAAGCAGTCCAATTCACTTCTCAGAAAGTTCATAGGCACATGCTTCGGGTGACTAATTATCAATAAATTTGAATAAAAGCAAATTTCTGTAGAGGCGTCATATTTGTTCTAAGGTTTCCATAACACGGCGAAGAATTCACTCTCGATCTGACAGTGAATCAAATACAAGAACCCTAATTCCTTCACCGAATGAAGAAGTTAAACAAACAGAAGAGATAGAATAAACGCTACAGAGATGGAAAGATAGCTTCTTACGCATCTCTTCAGGAGTTGAGAAGTGCCTTCGACCCGTAGGCTTGCCCTTGAATTTTCCCCTTCCCATCGTCGAGTTCCGGCTTGAAGCTGATCGAGAAGAAGAAGAAGACGAGGAATAAGCTATCTTTTCTCCTGAGCTCTTTTTCTAATTCCCCCTCGGCCTTGCCACTCTCTTCTTTTTTTTTTTTGTATCTATCACTGCTTTCGCTTTCCCTCTCTGGCTCTCCCTCTGATTCGGAAACCCTACTAGGGGGCGAGTGGGTCTCTGGCAAAGCAAGGCTACAACGGGAATGTTAACGTACATAAGTGACACGGTGTTTCTTATTCTTTGTCTTCGTTCATGATGTGATCCTCGCTTAAAAGTGTAAAATAATCGTCTGATTGGAATAAGTAGTGGAGCCCACAAGTTCACATCCTTACCAAATCTCTAACAAAGGCAGCTGCGATGCTCAGTGCGCACCCTTTGCAGCGAATCTGATCAAGTTGATACTCATTCAACAACTTTACAATTTGAGAATCTTTGACCGCACATCTAGATTAGCGGCTGTGAATTATACGGTTGTTGCTTCGGGTTTGGATCTTACAAAATATCAATAAATACTTGCGAGAGTGACTCAAGAGGTTTGGARTAATACATTCAAAATATCAATAAATACTTGCGAGAGAAATCAAACTATATATTTCCCTTAATTTTGTATTACATTTAATAATATAATATTTTATATGATATAAATATAGGCATAAAATATATAAAATAATTTATATAAGTTTAAAATATTATACATAATATATGTGTGTTTATGTAATATTTATATGTATAATATAAAATTAAACACACACATATATATACACTAGTCGGGCCATGTGCGATGCATGGGAAAATCAGATAATTTGAAAGATATCAAGGATTTATCTATTTTGGTAGAGGTTATAATATAGGGAAGGCTTAAAAGTTGTTTCTCCATGGGGATACACAATCGGGGGGATGATCCCCAAACCCCTACTGCCTTCCAACCCTAATGCAAGCTAGACTTGATCCTAAGTCTCTGCTACAACCTACAAGAGACCTTATCAACCAAACAATTAACACATTGGCATTGGATGTTAAAACTAAATTAATAAAAATATCTATTTATAATTTATTGTTGTTTGCACAATAGGAAATAAAAAATAGAAAGAAAATTTTGAATATCTTAAAAATCCTTAGTACAAATATTGATATAAATAAACTACTTTTCAAAAATTTCTGAATTGATATGAATAAAATTTTCAAAATTTATTGATATGAATAAGTTAATTTAAAAAATGAATTTATGAATGATTAACTACTAAAAAATATAAAAAATCAGTTATTTTGATTTTTAAATTAACTTTCAATAAATTAAATTACCAAAACCATGATAATTAGTTTATGGAAATCACTAAATTAAAAATTCCCAATAAATACCAAAAACCAATGTAGAATACAATAATTATATAAATTATTACTAATTACCAAATATAAATTTTCAATATTAAAATTCCCAACTATTTTTTCAATTTAACAATTACTAATGTAACCAATGTAAATTACTAATAATTAATTATTTACATTATTAAAAGTTTCCAATTTAATAATTATCAAAAAATATTAAATTTTCTAACTAGTTATGGAAATAATAAATATAGTTAAAAATTCCCAATAAATTTCCAATTTAATATTTAACAATTGTCAAAAAAAAACCAATGTATCTGAAAGTATCAATAAATAATTTTTATTACCAAAATTTTATTTCAAAATCAATAATTTTCTGAAATTACCTGAAAACTGCTAAAATTTAATTTTTTGAAATTTTAAAAATAAATACTAATATATAATTAATTCCTGAATTTATAATAATTATCAATTTCAGATAATACTAATATATAATTAATTTCAAATAATAATAAATCAATATCTAAATATTAAAATTTGATTGTTCAATAATTATTTACGTGAATAAATTAATTTTCAAACATTTTATGTATTTTGTCAATAATTAATAGACTCTTTAAAAGTTAGATTCATTCTTAGGCTTTTTTTTTGTACTAGCCCATGCATGGTGTATTACAGGTCTCTTCTAATTCATCTTATTGACAAATTTTCCCACACATTAGAAGGGGATTAAAGGGTAGGGATAGAGTAGGGTGCGTGCAAGGTTGATTGGGGTGAAAGTTAGACTAGATTAGGTCAAGTAGAAGTCAATCCTAGTCCAATATGAGCTACTGAACCCCCAATCCTAACTCTAACCCAACTCAAAGTTTTTTGGGTTGGCTTCAGGTTGGTCTAATTTCTCTATTTTTTAAACCAAATGTTTCTATTTTTTGGATTTAAAGATTAAAGATTTGACGTTGGAGACTAATTCAGTTTTAGCATTATTATGGACAAAACGACATAGTTGCAGCCCCAACAGGTTGGGTTCAAGCTAACATGGCCCAAGTTGCAGCGGCTTCCGGCTTTTCAAGGTGGGCTTCACATGAACAGCCTTAGCCATGTTTGATGAAAGGGAAATTGTCTAAAACTCACCATGAGTTTTCGACATTTCTCTTAAACTCACCATAACTTTTCAAAACATCCTGGGAACCCCATGTCAATGAGTTTTTGTTTTCCAAAACTCACCTTCCATTAGAGCACCATTAATGTTTATTAACAAAAGTTGTCCACATTAGCATAAATACAATTTTCATGACCAAATTACCCTTGAATAGCAAGTTAGGGCAAAAGGGTCATTTAGGGTTAGATTTATTCTCCTAAAACTCTTTCTCTCTATCTCACTCAATCATTCTCATTTTGCCAATCACCCCTCTCTACCTATCTCGTCAAATCTTCCGGCCATAGCACTGCCACTGCACCACCCTCTCACTCGCTCAAATATTGCCGATAGTCATTGCACCGCCCTCTCTCTCTCTCACTCTTTGATCTTGCCGTCGTACAACCATCTCTCTCACTCATATCTTGTCGTCACACCACCCCTCTCTAGCTTAGATCTTGTCACCACACCACCACCACCCTCCCTCTCCCCCATCTCTCTCTCTCTCTCTCTCTCTCTCTCTAACTTTGCCGCTTAGATCTCCCGTTTGAAGGTTGCCACCGCATAAATATACCGTTTGAAGATCTATTGGTTTGAAGATTTGAAAGAACAAAGATGATCAAATATTTTGGAGATTTTCGATATTTTGAAACATTTGCAATGTATTCTTTTGAATTTGAAATGTAAATCCCCATCGAGGGCTCTACAAATTTATGGAACAAATGCTTTTGTAAAATATTATCTGATTGAATATTTTTTTTAAAACTTTGTTGCAATATTAGTTGGATGCAATGTCTATTTTTTTTTGTAAAATTTTATCATTTTATTAGTTTGTCTCAATTTTTGATTTTTTATAAAATATACAATTTTAAATATATATATTTAAAATTTTATCATTTTATGTATTTTTGTGTAGGTTTAATTATTCTATTTTTTGAAAATTTTATCACTTTCTTGTGTTTCTACAATTTTTTACTTTTTTCTATAATATGTAATTTTTGAAATTTTATCATTTTATGTATTTTTGCAATTTCTGTCTTTATCCAATCTTTTATTTTTCAAGTTTTTTTTCTTTTTCAATGTTCTTTGGTTTTTGCATTTTAGTGTTTTGCTATAATTTCCTATGTTTTTTTATAATTTCTATTTTTTTTTTGCATTTTTTCTATTTTCTACAATCTATACATTTTCCTATACTAGTAATTAAGCATGTGCATTGCATGTATGGAAATTGTATTCTTCATATTAACTAGCAGAGGGGGACTCTGTGTTGTAAGGGCTTGCTCATAATCCATCAGGCTCGAGCTTGATTCGAATTAGAGACTTGAGCTCGAGCTCGAGCTTGGCTCGAGTCAAAAGCTCGGAAGTTTGAGCTCGACTACCATTGATTGCAGGTCTCTCAAGTAGTCGAGGTTCCGAGCCGAGGTCTCCCTCAATTGCCGAGGTGCCAAATCGAGGTCTCTCTCAGCTACTAAAGTATCGAGATGAGGTTTCCCTAGCAGATGAGGTGTCGAGCTAAGGTCTCCCTTAATTGACAAGGTGCCTAGCTAAGGTCTCCCCCAGCTGTTGAGGTGCTAAACCGAGATCTCCTTCAGTGACCGATGTGCCAAGCTAAGGTCTCCCTCAATGGTCGAAGTGCCGTCTAGTTTGAACTCGATTCGAATTAGAGACTTGAGCTTGAGTTTAGAAGTTCAAGCTCGACTCAACTCAAACTTGACTACCTTTGATTGCAAGTCCCCTAACAGCCAAGATGTCGAGCTGAGGTCTCCCTCAGTTGGAGAGAGAGTGGCATTCTTATAATTTATAAGAAGAGAGAGAGAGTGGCATTCTTGTAATTTGTAAGAAAAAGAGAAAACTTTGAGTTGGTAGGAGAGAGATTGGTATTCTTATAATTTGAAAGAAAAAAAAAGCAAGAGAGAGAGAGAGTTGGTAGGAGAGAGTGGCATTCTTGTAATTTGAAAGAAAAAAAGCAAAATATATAGAGTTGGTAGAGAGTGGCATTCTTGTAATTTATATGAAAAAAAGGCAAAAAAAATACAGTTAGATTCCATTTCCCTCATCCTCACGCTTTCTTACGTACACATTTCAGCTTAATATATTTACTAGCAGAAAAGCCCATGTTAAGCACGAGCAAAGAAGATAAAGAGAAAACTAAATAAGAATCATGGGCAGTACCTTCTTCATATAGGTGAAAGTTCGGTGCTCAGCACAAGACAACAAAGAGTATTGAAATAAGCTAACAAAACAAATTTATAAGAGTATTCCGCCTCAACCACATAGAAAAAACATAATAAAAATGATTGTTATGTCTTTGTCATAAATAGTATAGAAAGTTAAAGAGAGTATCATTGTTCCTGAAAAAAAAAAGAGTATCATTGGAATTGAAAGAAATAGAGGTCATTGTAGTGGAAATCATCATTAATTCCGCTTTTGAGAGCAACTACACTCTCCAATAATTGCTTTTCTTTTTCCACATGAAATATGAGAAATTGCATTTATGTTGCAATGATAATGTTTTCTGAAAGGGTGATTGAATGTTGAATGACTACCTTGTGATTTTTGTGTGTGTTTCAATTGTAGGAATTGGCTCCCTAATGGTAAGTGCACTTAAAACTGATAGATAATAAAAAATATTAATAAATATTTGATTTGTAAAAAAAGCAAGAAGCAAATTAAAATGAGGAGAGAATAGGAAGAAAGAAAGGATACTTGGCTC